TATAATAATATATTAATTTATAGAGGATTTAATTTCAACAATTTCTAGGTGACGATAAAAGTGTGAAATAAAATGTTTGAATGTAATTCCGAAAACAAAAACGGATTTATACAAAATATGAAACATGTTGACTTCACAGCTTAGTTTGTGTATATTATAAGAGAAAATTCAATTTAATTGTAATTTTAAAATATATTTCCTTAGTCGATTCTCACCGAAACCCGTAGGCGTACTTTCCCATGACCATCAAACAATTAATTTATTTTTATAAATAGGCCACAAAACAGCACTTTTACGCGTTAATCTTATACAAAAAAGCAACCTGATGAAATCGGATTTTTTATCCGACTATTCTGAAAAGAAATGCAGAAACTAATTCAGTGGTTAATCTCTTTTTAAGTCCAGACAAATATAAAACTAATGTGTGAGAATCATACGAGTTAATTCTGTAGGGATCTATTTACAGCCAGTAAGCTCAACTAAAAGGGGTTAATTAATTGTGGCTAAACATGTCATCCAAACTTATATTTTAAATGCGAAAGGAACTGTCTGTCTATCTGTATTTTCTTCACGCCTAAACTACTGAACAAATTTCAATCATATTTGGTACAGACATAGTTTGGAACTCTAAAAAGGACATAGGATAGTTTTTATTTTATACCAAAAATCTGAAGGAAGAACTATTCCACGGCTATATCATTTAATATTTTTCCAGAACTTGAAAAAAACTTATACCAGGTGTCAAATTAAGGATTAAAAATAGGTATATAAATATACATTGAACATAATGCCTCTTTTATGGGTTTAATAAAATGTTAATACGTAAAATTTCTCATTCAAAAATACGCATGTAAATACTGAAACGATTTTCATTTTCGAAATGTTTCCTGGAAGCGAAACATTCAGGAAACTCATCATAATAATTTTGTTTCATGAAATATCGTATGAGGTCGGTTTTTTAATACACAAAATTAGTTATTATTTTCTATTCAAATTTACGTGAGTAATATTTAGTTTGAAATCCAAATTAATTTCAACTAAAGTCTATTATTTTTTCTAAATATCATCATTCGTATGTGTTGAGGAATGCAATTTTACGAATTCCTAATACAAATCGTGACTTGTAATAGTGTGGTCCAAAGATAAGATGGTCAACGTAATAATTTTCAACCTTCCAACTGACCTCGAGATCCGCTTCTCATGCATGATGAAGAAGAATGTGACATTCTCTTTCCGAGCATACGTACTTTCTAAGTTTATTTGATACTAGCTACTCTCGCGCGGTTTCGCCTGCTGCTAGGCTCCATTTATCATAGCGTGATGTTTTATAGCCTATAGCACTCAGGAACATTGTAGCTATCTATCAGTGAAAGAATTTTAGAAATCCGACCAGCGGTTCCAAATATTACCCCTACATACAAACTAACAAATTTTACCTCATTATACCTAATATAATGGTATAGACTACAGACCAATTAGAAAATTTAGACTTATGATTTTTTAATATAAGTATTAAATCACCAACGCACTTGAGTAAACATGGTGATCAATGCTCATATATTTTCCATCTTTGGCGACGTCTTTAAGAGAAGAGGGGTTTTGCGGGAATAGAGGCATTTTGCCGATTTTCTGGTGGGATTATGGTGGAAAGGAAAAAAATTGCGAAAAAGATATTTAAATGAATTATACTTTATTCCATATTCAATTTAGAATAGATAATACGTACTACTACAAATGTGTACTATACAATAATTAAGTTATTAACTACTACTAAAAGCATGCAATCTCAGCATTTGAATAATTACAAATATCGCACAAGCATTCACTAACACGAAGTTTCTTATATTATTATTTCAAAAAGCATATTTTTTTCAAGAAACACTGTTTTCTTAGCAATACAGTTACAATTTCTGAGATGTTTTTATTATACAATACAATGCAATGTTTTGATACCTGTATTTTATTATTTTAAACACTTAAATGTTTTAGGTACAAAATAAACACACTATTTTAACTAAAACGTATCCGAATATACAGAAAGATAATTAAACAATTTTAACTTCAATATCAAAGCATGAAAACACTGAACAATTTCAAACAGACTGTTGCAATTGTAAGCGCAAATCGAAAGAGCACTATCTTTCCTTATCATAAATGTTTAGAATATTTATTGTATTTATAGGTATATATTTAAAATATGTGTATTAAGTGGTATAGGTATGTATGTATATATATTTATTAGTATAATATATTATATTATTTGGGGGTTTATATGTATGTTGTGTATTTATATATTTTTTGCTGTTTAATAGTTAGTTTATTATTTTTTATTGTTTTTCTTTTTCCTAATTGTGTTTACACATTCAGTCTACACAACTTTTTATTCTAACTCTCCCATAACGGGCCTGCTGGAAGAGATTTCTGAAGAAATAAGCTGTGCCTTTGTACCTAATTGTTGTATTATTTTTCTCGTCCAACTTACTGTGTGTACATAAATTATTAAATAAAACTGAATTCAAATAAATATCATTACATATTTTATACTCCAATTTCTATTCTAGACAAACAATAATTATTTCACGTAACACTCTGTATATCATTATCTGCTCGAAGCTTTTATTATTACAAATGAAATTCTTTAATTACATTCTATTTCATTTGAGATTGGCTCAGCAGTGTGTAATAACTGTACGCACCCTTCAAGATCTGAAAACATATACAATAATATTATTGCGACCCAAAAATAATAAATTATTTATAGTTATTCAGTTTATCGGCCAAAAATGTATTAACATCTCTTAGTACACGTCCAGTATAAATTGAACCTGTGTAGCATACTTTGGCTATGTAGTCAGAGGTCAAAATTAGACTGGAATATGTAGCATAATCAGCGGTGGTCTGTACGCAAAGGTCGTTCGATATTAATTTTTCGTGGAATTTTTGTAATTTCAATAGATGCTTTGATTTCAAACGTTTATTGCTAATATATTTTGGAATATGTAAAAGCGATTGAGAATTTTTTAACTTATAAAATTATTCTGCAAATAGAAGCAACGGAATTAAAAAAATAAAAGATATATTATAAAATCGAGGGCGTTTAGGTACAAGTTGATATTTTAAACTCAAGTTACATATATGTATATTGTGTATTATATTATGATAAAACAAAATTTGAACATTTTTAGGATCGAAAGGTTACCAGACCACTCTAATTATTTTGTCTAATCAACCGAATATTCTCGCCTATCGTCGAGACTGGTGGACACGGTCAAAGGATCGGGAGGTGTGGAAGCGAGATGGAGAGGCCTTTGCCCAGCAGTGGGACATTACAGGTTAGTAAAAAAAAAAACCGAATCAAAACCAGTCGCGGCATAGATTTCTGTATTACTACGCTACGCCTGCAACCCTGGGTGCTCTATTCTTCCTCCCCCATCTTCAATCCCCAAATCTCCCAGCCGTAAATTTCTAATTAACTTTGAACGCATTTGTACAAACTCTTTTGGAAATTATCAGTATCTTTAGGTGGCGCCATTTGATCTGTACCATCAGGTAAATCGTGTGCTCATTTGACGACTAATACCATAAAGCAAGGTATGCCAGTTTTTGGAAGATTTGAATGTATCATCATCATCAGCCTATAAGTGCCCATTGCTGAGCAAAGGCCTCTTCTCACACGGAGAAGGTTAGAGCTTTGATCACCACGCTTACTCAATGCGGGTTGGCGATTTCAAACTTGTAATTAAAAATTATTAGTCCAGGTTTCCTCACGATGTTTACCTTCACCGTATGTCAGTGGTGTCTAAATAATCATAGAAAGTACATATAACTCGGAAAAAGTCACATTGGTACTTGCCAGGTTTCGAACCCACACCCTCATGCATGACATGATACATGAGAAGCGGGCTCCTTAACCACCGGGCCACCACGACGACACGGAAGATTTGAATGTATATGGACATTATATTTATAGACTATTCGTAAGCACTGCCGCCTTAAGATCATTTCAGAATTTTGCTATAGGAGTCAATTATCATCGCAAATCTTGCACTGTTGTGGTCTGGCAACCATCGATGTATATGAAGAAGATGTCAAAAACTACTCACACTTATAAAAGTAGCGACAGTCAGCTTCGTGAATGGTCCAGCAGAGAACACAATGCTCTTGTTGAATTGTGCAACCAGTAGGTAGAGGCTCTTACGATATTGCACACCTCTGGACCACCAAGTACTTTCATATGGACCTAGCATTAGGTCTGCACTCTGAAAAAGTAAGCCGGCTTTTTGTGAGGATGTTGTATAAGTCCGGTCATGTTGACGCATTTATGCCGAAGCGTGGCCCTTCCAGAATTTAATTTATTTGAATTAATATACTATGCGAATTTGAGCAACTGTATCGATTAATTTTAATTCTTTCTCTGTGTGCGACAGGCAATTTTGCTTTTTGCTCAGCAGTTAGTTTTATAGGCTGATAATATAATGTGTATTGTAAGATAAAATAACCAAAACTTTGTGCCGTTTTTAATTTACTTCATACTTATTTTTTTACTAGCGACCCGCCCCGTTACTTATGCAGATTTTCTCCACTATTTAATGCATGTTATTATACGTATAAGCCTTCGTCTTCAATCACTCCATCTGTTAAAAAAACCGCACCAAAATCCATTGCGAAGTTTTTTAAGATTTAAGAGTACATAGGGATATAGGGGCAGAGTTGTTGTTTTATACTATATAGTAATACTTACAGCGTACAAGACGTCGTTGCTATGCCAGCAGTATATAAACAGCTGTGCAATACCAAACACAAGATATTCTGTTGTTAAAAATCTTTGCATTGGACTTGTTTCGATCTGAAATATAATAGTGGCATTAGATAAAGAAAACACTAACAAACTTACTCATGTATGGGTCGGCTCGACCGGAGTGATACCAGGGCCTCACAGAAAACCGACGTGAAACAACCACAGCGTTGTGTTTCGCAGTGTGAGTGAGGTTAACAGAGGTTCAATCCTTCCACTCCCCAAATCCCTCCCCAATCTCTAAATCTCCCAAATCCCTAATCCATAAAAGGTCGGCAACGCACTCCGCTGTGTTGTGGGTGTCCATGGGCGGCGCTGATTGTTTACCATCAGGTAAGCCGTCTGCTCGTTTGCCGACCTATCACATAAAAAAACTTGAATAAAGTCTACGTAAATAAAATCTACTAGTTTCAAGTCACAACGGGACTCTTATTCGCGTGCGCGTCCCGGCGACATCGTGTAGGCGACAATTCATGTATGTTAGTCGTTATTTTCAACCAATTTAATATTCCTCGGGATAGTTACTATCACTATATAAATCTATATTTTATAATAATTTGTACCTAATTATTTTATAAAGAAACTACCACTCTCCAGTTGCCACTGTAGAAGAAAATAAATATTATAGGTACTCACAGTGATTTGGTAAGCTGTGACACACAACATTACTGAACAGACAAACATGTATAGTAACATTATTGGGGATAAGCAGGAATCAAAGAGACGAGCGTATCTGTAAAAATAAATAAATAAAAAAAAATCTTTACATGAAAAAAATCTTGCTTACACCCGGACTACTAATTATTGTTAGGCTGTTTGTTGCGTTTTAACTACAAAATTACTTAGCAGATTATAAAGTAATTGCGGCAGTATTTGTTCATGACCTGAAAATCTGACCTCTGGAAAAACGTTTACACACATACCCGGGTATGTTCGTATACGCTGTTTCTTCCGGGTCTAAACCAGCAACAACAAACTTACTATATAAAAATTTCGTGTCACGTGTTTGTCCGCGATGGACTCCTAAACTATTAAACCGATTTTAAATTTGATCATTCCGTGTGCATTTTGATCCAACTTGAAAGATAGTAGGATAGCTTACATGTCAATTTGTAGTCACAATATTATTTACCTTAGCCACAGCAACGCGTGGCTGGGTTTGCTAGTTTACTATATAACTCGATATGTTTTTTTTTTAATGGGGATGATACTCAAGAATAATTTGAATAAAATACTCTGTACAGATACTGAAAAAATACACAGAAGAATAATATTTAGTTATTATAATAATGTATGAAAAGAACTTCAAAAAAGTAGTCGTATACAATTTTTTTTGTTGCTTCGTAAATATTAATTTAGGTAGGTATATAGAGAGCTAGTTTATTTAACATTTTTTGCTCAGTAAACCACGTAATGTAAATAATTACTTTTTATTAAAAAAATAAACTGTGGCCTTAAAAGGAAATTATTTCAGTCTGATAGTTTCATTTGCGTTTTTGTTTTTCATTTGAATTTTTGTCAAATATCAACAACGTTGTGTTCCAGAATCAAATATGAAAACTTGTTTTTCAAGGTCTTCAAAGAATATTCACAGAAAAAAACTTAGTAATAGAGAAATACAATATGTAAACTGAAAAAAGCTTCGATAGTTCCAAGTCAGCAATATACTACGGTTGGTTTTTTTCTATTTTTTTTTTCAAGGCGTAGTTTAGCAAAATTGCCTGCGGATTACTTGATGGTAAGCAGTCGGCGTCGCTCATGGACACTACCAGAGAACCAGAGAAGTTAAGAGTGGGTTAAGGAGGAAGGAGGAAAAGAAGGATTGATTCTGCGGTAACTTGGCACACACGACGAAACATAACTCAAAACCCATTAATAAAACCTAAATCCCATTAATTTTAGTAGATTTTTGAAGTTGTGAGTTGTGAATATCAATCTATATCATCTTATCACTATTTCCGTATAAAATTTTGGGTAAAACGAAAAGTCTATGTCCTATGTTCATTCATATATATGTCCCATTCGTTCTCCTACTGAGTGTGGAGCAACAGAGCACTGCGCCTTAGTGCGTTCTGCCAGTAACTCTCGCTGAGCATTGACCCTAACTGTAACAGACCCCGTTGGTGGTGACCTGATGGCTATAATTAAGCGCGGAATCCAACGTTCACTCGACTCAATTTTAGTACTTAAAGTAAATCAAACACACACACAGGTTCTTACAAAATCATTTAAAGCTAAAAGTAATTCCAAGCAGAATTAGGTCTAATTTTCATTTATTTGCTAACCAAAATTGTCTCCTAATTTGATGGCTCTTATACCATGACAGCCAATCTGATAGAATTATCAACAAAATTACAAAAAACCACAACAAAGTAAAAATCTCATATTCACATACTCGTACATATTCGAAGTAATCCGAAACTGCACCAGTTAATACGTTTACCGGTAAACAAAGTTACAAGAATTTATCGTTCACATTTAACTGTGCAAGTTAGATTGACTACGAGTAAGTTAATTTGGATTTTGAACTCGCGTTTAACATTGTGGGGGGATAATTTTATCTGTCAGTTGTTCCTGCTTCCTGTTTGGATTAGTTTTCGAAACGGTATTGGTAGAACCTTGTGTGATATTATGCTAAGTGCGCTGTACTGCGTAGCTGGCTGATTAGTGTGAATCTTAGTAAAATGATTGTCTAAGGTCGGCAAATGGATATTGAGCTATTTATTTATTTATTAATAATTTTAAAAACGTTTTATGGAAAAAATACTTCAGGTGTATACCTAGTGCGACTCTTCAAGAAAAAAAGATTGCACCAAGGACTCTTAATGCCACAGGCTTTCTCTATCAGTACAATCTTTGGATAGCAAACATATTCTAGACCAATTGTAAATTATTTATTCGAGTTTATTAAAAATAATATTTATTTTGCATTTTTTAGGTTCGGGTTACAATGTGTTTTTTTTCCACTTCTACATTTAAATTAAATGAATTATTCGGCATGTTCTATCTGACTGCGTGAGTGAACTGCGTAAGTTATTATTTTTTTGTGTTTTTTTTTAAAAGAACCACTAGAGTTTGAGTTGACCTAGTCTTACGACAAACACGCGTGAGTAAGTTTATGGAATTTGGTTATTATGTTCGATCCATTTTAATGACTTTGCCATTACTTGGCATAGTATGTCAGTTACAAATACAATATTAAATTACGCGAGTATTAACCAAAAAAAAAATTATTCAAATAGTGTGAAAAATAAAATAAGTAGTTAGAACAAAATTTTACGCCCGAGTGCAAGGAACTGTAAAATCGCATCTTCAGTCTGCTTGCGACCACCATTTTTTCGTGTTAATACTCGTATATGTTATAAATATGAAAAGCGAAAGTTTAAAAGTTAAAATATTAAACTTTAAGCTAAATATTCCATTTTATAAATGTCTTTATTGCCTTTATAAGACAAATTTGACGATCAGCTTATTATAATTCAGCAAAAAAAAAAAACAATAAAACTACTTTATTTTTGACGATACTTACTTGACCAGCTCAACATGTCTCCTATGGCATTCTTTCAACCTCTTTAGAGCGATCCCATGCTCCACAGGCGCGGATTTCGTCCCAAATATATCCTTACAATCAATCCTTAACAGCTCCAATTCAGCTCGAAAGAATACCATTATCACCATCGCATTGGTATCAAAAGACGTGATCCATCCTCCTCCATAAATCGCAGCGTAACTTTGATACGCTGAAGCGGCTAAATACCCAACCATTTTATTTTTATTAAACGGTACCCAAGAACTAACGACTTGTAAATACGTCTCTGTTCCATTTTTTACGTTCAATCTGTAAGTCTCCGAGGAAACATATTTGAAGATCGGCTGTACCATGACAATGACCACGGTCGTATACATCAAAGACCAGTACAGATATGTTATCTTTCTACAATATTGTGTAAATGCTTTTAGTAGATCCAATTTTTCCTTATCTACGGTTTTTCGCTGGTCCAAGTCAGCCCTTGTGACATACTCTATAATGTCGATCCAATATTTTTGCCAACTCAAAAATGTTGATACTTTTATCACGCTTATCGTGGCCAACATTGTAATTTTTAGGTTATTCAGTAATAAATTTAAGTCAGATTTGACGAACCAGACGTCTATGTATTCTGTTGCAGTGAAAATTGTCACCATTAAATGCATCAGTAGGTAAAAATACTTTTTGAAAACATTTTTTGGCAACAACAGTCCCCAAAACTCTAAGACCTTTACATTTGGCCCTAGTAACGGCCTCTTTGGGTTTTCCAATTTCTGGAGAATATTTTTTAACATCTTATCAGATTGACTTGACGGAACAGATTGGAATAATGATGCGATCCCTTATTACACGATTTCAAAGGCGAAGATAATTACGTGATTTCAAGGACTAGGGATGGGAAAAGGTTTTTATAATGAATATCGACTTTTGTGAAGTATTTTTTAATTGGGTCATTTTTGTTTCTGTAAGCATGTCAAAATGTAGTGTCACAATGCGTCAGAGGTTAAGGCATCCGCTTCTCATGCATTAAGATGCGGGTTCGTAACCTGGCAAGTACCAATGTGACTTTTTCTAAGTTATATGTACTTTCTATGATTATTCAGACACCTCTGATGGTCTATGTAGGGGTCCGTATCTGTGATGTTCTAATGGATTTTTAAGGCGTGTGCGTAACACACACTCTTGATATGAAGAATCTACGTCAACGATCATGATACCCTCAGGGAAAATTGGGATGGTGTAAAGTTTATTTAACTCTGACAACAGAAATCAGTAACGAGTCAGAAATAAATTAATTTACAAGCAAAACTGAATTTAATAACTCTTCAATGGGTTAACGCTTAAAAACAACATGAAAATAAGCGTTAAAACCGTCGAATCCTTTTGTGTTGAATAAATCAACACAATGGGATCGCTGTGTCGACATGTTTCGGAAATATTTCGAATTTTTAATTAAGCAACAAGCCAATGTTTTTGTAACGCGTCAACATTTCACAATACGAAAAACGTTGAGATTTCGTGTCAAAAGTTTCTTTGACAAGGAATTTACCTAGTGTTCCTGAAAATTTGAATAAAATATAAAATTTTCCAGAGATATTGTTTTACGCAGATATCAAAGTGAGCTCTCAAAGTTTGGGAAGATTTTTTTTTGTAATCGGTTCGCGTCGAGATAAATAATTTTTAATTTGTATTAGTAAGTAGCTTCCTTACTAATTACTTAGAATAATATAAATTATAAGACATTGGTAAGAACATTCGTTACACGATATATAGTTGTGTTGAAAAAAAAACCGGATAATACCTGCTATACGAAGCATTTGTTATATTCAAGGGTATTGGTTAAATACAGATAAATTTATTTTAAAATCAAATTTTATTCAGAAATAAAACTGCCTAACATTTTAACCTAAAAATTGCTGTTGTATTCTACAAATAAGGCTAAACACTTTAAAAACATAACGACTTACTTACGTGAATTAACTGAAAAAGCTTGCTTGTTTTTCTAGTTTCATGGCTAAAGCCTCAAGCAGCACCTGAGTAAACTAACATTAGGTGGTCAATTCAAGGATCTAATGCAATAAGTATAACTAGAGATCTAGAGATGTCCTGAGATTCCTTTCTCTAGAGCCCTTACTACTATTGGCTTAAACACTCCCATTACCAGTAAGATACTGCTTTTTAATATTTACCAGTTTTTGCTTAACAACGTAATATATAAAACTGTAAGAAACAAGTTCATAAATAAGAAAAAGACAATAACTATACCTATATAGTATCAAAACAATAGATCATTATGTCTATAAATAAATCATACAAGGATATATAATATATAATGAAAAATTGAAAAATATCATAATATATTATATACAACGATACATTTTCCCTATTATACTGAAATTCAAATGCTGACCTTGTTTTATAATGCGAAGTTGAGATGGCATTGGGATTGATAAATAAACATTGCCTGGCCTTGAGACAATTGTTCTAAACGCATGACCTGAATTTGTATGAAAATTTAATACTATGTAAATATTATTTATTTACAGAATGAAGATTATATTATAATTAAAACAAACCTTTTTTTATGTGATAGGACGTCAAACGAGCAGACCGATTACCTGATGGTAAGCAATCAGCGCCGGCCATGGACACTCGTAGTACCAACGGACTTCAGATGCGTTGCCGGCCTGGGATGGGGGAGGGGAATGATTTTTGTTTAATTTATTAGTTCAGCAAACGAGTTGACAGATAACCTGATGGTAAGAAATCAGCGCCGCCCATGGACACCCGCAACAGAGGAGTTACGAGTTCGTTGCCGACCTTTTGGAGATTAGGGATTTAGAGATTTTGGGTGTGGGGAAGGATTGGGGTAAACCGTACACACAGGGCCAAACACAAGACTGTGGTTGTTTCACGCCGGTTTTCTTTAAGTCCGTGGTATCACTCCGGTCGAGCGGACCCATTCGAATCGAAGCATGGTTCTTCAACACTCACTTATTTACTTTCCAAATTATGAATAAATTGTAATTCAGACAAATATACTTAGCATTCAGGGTTACGGACAATTTTAGGCAGCTAACTTCATTAAAACACTGACACACTTTTTATACAGAAAAAAATAATATTTTTTTATCAAAGCTTCACAAAAGTCTCACACAAGATATTTTTTGTATTATTATATACATTATTTTTTATTGTGCGTATTGTTCGGTTTGAAGTTTCAATTTCAATTTTACAATATTATAAAAATACATTACTTTTTTATTTTGATTACAAAATTACGCATATGAGAATTAAACTCAATACACGAACACATACAGAATAATTCTATAAAATAAAAATATATAATCATATGATAAAAGTTGGCAAACGAGCAGACGGATTACCTAATGGTAAGCAATCAGCACCGCTTATTGACACCTGCAACACCAAAGGAGTTACGAGTGCGTTGCCGAGCTTTTGGAGGGTTGCGGATATTTAAGGATTGGGAATGGATAGGGGAGGGGGAGGGATTGGGCATCCGGTTGGTACTCACACGGCAAAACACAACGCTATGGTTGTTACACGTTGGTTTCCTGTGAGGCCGTGGTATCACACCGGTCGAGCTGACCCATTCTAAAGCTTGTCTCTTCCACACTTAAAATGTTACTGCATAGGACAAAGCTAAGCAAGAATGAGTGAAAGAGATAGAGGTATTTAGAAATGTATAACAAAAAATATTCTTTAAATCTTAAGCTTAAACACGGCCGTTAATCTAGACAAATACGATGTCAGATTTAGCTTTCAAAAATTATAAGTACCTACCTAAGATTTTTCTTTAAACAACGTTCAGAAAAAAATCTTCAAATCTCAAAGTTCCCGCTATCGCGAGTTATATCTGAGAATAATTTATGGCTCGAGCAATAAATCCTTACTTCTGTTCTGCTTAATTAAAATATTTTACGAGTTTTACGAAAAAAATATTTAAATTCTAAGCGTAAGCTTATGTTTAATCTCTTTATCGGGAATAGTTTTTCTAGAGCAATATTGTTGTAAGATTTAGTGAATAACCCTTCGTAAATTATCCTAAAGGTTGAAAAAAATGTGTATAGTGTGTATACCTTCAAGAAACAAGCGTACTTCTTTTTAAATGGCCGGCAACGCACCTGTGACTTCTCTGGTATTGCTGGTGTCCATGAGCGGCGCTGATCGCTAACCATCAGGTGATCAGTCTGTTCGTTTGCCTCATATTCCATAAAGTATATATATGAATAATAAATTATTTTTGACACATATATTCTCTTTTATTAATTCATCGTTCGTGCTTCTATTGTTCTTCTATCGTGTCTCGAATTACCACGATTGAAAGGTTAAAAAGATTTCTTAGAAATGTGCCTGTAAATTTGAATGTATTCACATTTTTTTACGAATAAACTTTGGTTTGATATGCTACACCGGTAAGAAAATAACTGAGGCAACGCACATAGAAGATAGATGATCAAAATCGAAAGAAGACTTTACTAATTCTATTCTGCACAAGCAGTTTTGTGCACAGATTTACGAAGATAGAAAATGACCTATCGGCATGATTACCTAGCTTGGTCATAGGAACTTATTCCCAACTTTTAGGAACTTAGGAACTCTCTGACCTTTTATTATCATCGTCATCGCCAGTTACAAAAATCTGTAAAACTCATAAACTCTAAACAAGTAATGCAAAAATCTAAATTGTATCGATAATATCATAACGTGCACTGATGTGATTCCCAACACTACTAATTACAATTAAATAACGCCACTGTATTATCAGCTCCCACCTTACCTTTGATTGTGACACCTTACATAGATTTTTCAGTCAGTAATTACATATTAGCATCTATCATTATATGGAGGGTTTCACGAAATTATTTCACTTCATTGTAATAACTTAATTTTATAGGCAGGGATTATAATTAAATCAATTCTCTACATATATGATTCATTTTTGCACTTTCTTTTTGCTTTGGCTTCGTTTAATTATAATTTTTATTGCATCTACAGATTTACTTTTGTTTTGCCTACTATGAATGAATAATGCAAAGAAAATATTAGGGTCCATTTCACATTGTATCGAAATATAAGTTGATATTGTAAGTGAATTATTTTGTTATTTTAATATATAATGTAATAA